TCTTAAATTATGCACATATGATTTTACAGGCACAGAAGAGGACCTAATGAAAATGCAATGTTTTTCTTTAAAAAAAAAAAAAGGCACCCTTCAGTTCTAGTCTTATTCCATGGAAAATAAGCTTCAAAACCACGAGCATCCCTAGTTAATCCCCATCAGCTTTGTCCCCACCAGGTGAGGAGCCACGAAACCTGCTCCTGTCAATGGCTGCTAAGGAACGCTACCATCACCTGCTAATCCTGGAGGCTCTGGTGCAATTACATTTCTAATCTGAGGGTTTACATGAGAATATAAATGAAAGGAACAGCTTCATTTGTATCCAGCATTCTAGAAGTACAAGGTTAAACTTCCCTTTGAATTTTCAGGCCCTCCTCACACCAGATACACCCTAATTCACCAGTGTCCTGCTCGTGTGTGGCAGCACCAGGTAGGGTCCAATCAGGAAAACCTACCTGGAACCACTGCCATCTCCTCTGCTGCAGACCCTATTTTGCCAGTGACCTGACTAAAATTGCATCAGCTTCCTAACCAGCTTGTCACTCTGTTAGCTACTATTGAACTTGGCGGGTAGCCAGACATAAAACAAAAACAAAAACAGCAACCAAAAAACCCCATAGTTGCATACCCACCTCCCTCCCAACTACCATAACAGCAACCCTTCATTATGTGTGCTAGTGTTTCAGAAAGTGGTTTTTACATTGAAATTATGGGCAATTCTAGACCAGTCTAGCCCAGAAGCATATGAAAAATAATAAGTCTGAAATCCCATTGAGATCCTCATCTCTGATGACTAAAGCAGCTAGATTTGTTAAAGTTTCATTTTGTCAAGAAGATACATGATAATAGAGAGCTCTGCGATCCCACCTCTCAGGCAGAAAAACAGCTATTTTCAACTCTCCATCTCCGTGGAAGTCCCCCTGTCCAGGATGTATGCATCTGTAAATACATGAGCATGTGCCCATTTTTAAAAAAAAAAAAAACTATACTGAGTCTTTTGTCAAAATGAGGGATGTTTAAACACCCAGCTTTCTATAGCTATGAGAACAGCACCTATCTCTTAAGAGGACTGCAATGTCCTCAAAACCTATCTCAAAATCTTTCAAAAGTTCTCAGTTTCAATAAGATTACTGAACCATCCAGCTAATCCAGAACGTCACAATGTGAGCTGTTTCGGTCACTAGCAAGGAAGTAGCCTGATGGGAGCAAAAGAGAATCCTGCTTCTTAAATAATGGGTAAATATACAGCTCTCCCAAGATGTTCTAGAGCTTTGGTTCAGAGAGGAGAGGAGAGGAGTAACTTTTCTTATGTCCAACTGGTCAACCATAACCTATTATTTCTGCTATTTTTTTTAATCTCAAAGATTTTTTATAAAACATCTCCAAGCTTCTTGTACCCAAGAAAGAATCTCTTGTTTTTACTAAGAACTGAGTCAGTGAATATTAAAATGCAAGATGGCAGGAGAATCTGTAAGGCAGAGGGGAGCTGCCATAGTCCTGTGGCAGGACTCACAGGATGGCCAGAATAGAAGGACTTGGTCAAAGGCCCAAGTCACACTGAGCAGGACACAGAAAGGACTTGGCTAGATCGAGACACAGCAGAATTGGAGAGGCATGATCCTTCAACAGGGTCAAGTGCAAGGTGCATTTGCCCCCACCTCCATACCCCTTCATAGCTTTGGAAGTTGGAAGGCTTGGATCACTTTCACCCCCCACCAGGCCCTGACCAGTACAAGCGAGCCCTGTTTCCCAGGTGATTCACAACCTGCCATATAGCATCTCAAGGAACATAACGTCATGTGCAGCTCTCAACTTCTAGACACAATTTTGTTCTATCCAGAAGGTATTTCCTTAATTCTCCAGCAGTGCCCTTACCGAGTAAGAACTCCTAGCAAGTCTCCTGCAGCTTTGGGGTAGCAATTTGGAAAGGAGAGCAACTGGATATTGTCCTTTTAAAATATCATTCAATTAGGTCTTTTGTAATACATACAACTAAAGAGATAGCCTTACCAATTCTAAAGAAATGGCTAGTGCATTTCATCAAAGGCACAATAATGGAAACATTGATTGACTCCTCGCCACAAACATCTCCCTTTGATGCTGCAGTTACCTTAATACTAGCACTTTTCATTTTCTCTAGAAGAAACCAGCGCCTCAATACATGCACATCAGAGAAGGCAGCAGTCTGAAGTAAGACACTGGTATATCAATCTCAACCACTCTTGCATCTTCATCTGCTGCTCCGTGGCATCCCTCTCCTTGACTCTAAACCAGTAAATTACCCTGAAATAAAGAAAAACTCTGCTGTAACCTGGATGATGTTTTATGGCATCTCTACAAATGTTGCCAGGGGATCATCGGCCTCCTCACACCATTTATTTAAGAGTGGCAGGGCGCTGGTTAGAGACTTTACGGACCTGAAGAACACTCAGCCACTTTACACAAAAGATGCCGACAAGAAAGAGAACTTAAGGAAGAATACATCCGGAAATGTGCAGTGTGATTAGAAAAATCCAGCAGCTCCCACTGCCACATTTCCAAATATCTTTACCAACTGAAAAAGCAACCACCGAGTCGGAAAGTACCTTGAATGCATTATATCCACAAGGGTACTTCACAAGCAATGCCGTAGATGTTCTCAGTGCTGTGGAGTTGGAGAAAAAGAAGAGTTCTTCTATAGACACGAGGCATATTGCATTTGGTTTATTAACCTCTTGGCATGAGACGTCGGTTGCCTCTAACCTAGATTGTCTCAGCATAAGTAAACACATGGGTTAAGGGTTCTGAGTTTCATCTAAATAAATTACCATACCATTTAACATCCAAATGATTTTTTTTTCAATGCATCTTCAAAATTCCTAGCTATACTAAGCATCTAAACTCACAGACTATCTGACATTTGGCTAAGTCTTTCATACAATATCCACCTGATGTCATGAAAGAAATTTATTTGCAATGGCTTTTGCTCTGCAAATGTCATGTGGGTGTCCTTAGGGAATTGCATTTAGCACCTGGCGCCTACCATGAGGCTCTATTAATGAGAGATATAAAGGTTATGTTGAAATTATTGTTTAAAGGTGCTGACATCTCACACACACACACACACACACACACACACACGCACGCACATGCACACACACTCATTTACAAATTATATATTCAAATATATACTGAAGAGCAACTGTTTCAGGACTTAAGGGAGAACAAAGAGAAGAAGCTGTTTCAACCAAGGTTATTCTGTAGATATCTCTATGCAATATAGTGTTCATAATTATCCATTTCCTTTCACTGATTGAAACATTGTTACACAATAGTTTGGCATCAAACACTGTACTAAGGTTCTGGAGAAAGCAGGAAATACAAAGAAGAATTAAGTCTCTTAGGTATAAGTTGATCAGCTATAAAGGGCTCATTACCATAGCACCAATGCATTCATCCACTAATTCATTTGCCTAACAAATACTGATGATCAGTAAGTAGCAGGCACTGTCCTAGGGTCTGGTGCTACAACTGTGAGTGAAACCAGACACCGTCCTGCCTTCCTAGAGCTTGCAATCTAGTGAGAAATACAGATGATGCCAAATTCATATCAGTCAATGGAAAATCTCAACCGTGACAGGTACCCTTGAAGGCAAGGGTGCATAGCCTTACGAGAAAGAACACCAAGGGGGATTTAACTTTATCAGGGAGTTTAGGGAAGACGTCCTGCAGAAGTGATGCTACATCTGAGATCTGACAGTGAGGAGGTGTACTTTAGGGAAGAAGATCCCAGGCCCAGGAAAGGGAGCAAGGGGGACAGCTGGGGCGGGGAGGGACTGAAAGATGGCCATTGAAAGGGAAGTGCTAACAGTGAGTCAGGAGAGAGAAGGAGGGACCAGACCAAGTAGGTGCTAATAGAGCCTACTACGGAGGACTTTGGTCTCTTTTTCTGCGAGTAATGAGAAAATGCTGAAGGAGTTTAAGCAAAGGCATGAAAAGATCTACATTTGGGAAATACATTGTTCAGGTGATAGTATGAACACATACTACAGGAAATATTAAGGATACCTCCTAGGTTTGCAGCTAAATGAGTATAATTAGGGAATACTGGAAGAGAACCAACTATGCTGGGGGAAGGTCAAGAGTTCATCTTTGGAATATGTTGAATCGAGAAGCTTTTGAGATATACAGGAGACGAGGTCAAGTACACAGCTGGATGTATGGATCTGAAACTCAAAGGGAAGGACTCATTGGGCTACTCTATCTTGGATGTACTTTTAGAAAATAATGAAATGGGTCTTCCCTGGTGGCGCAGTGGTTCAGAGTCTGCCTGCCAATGCAGGGGACACGGGTTCGGGCCCCGGTCCGGGAAGATCCCACATGCCGCGGAGCGGCTGGGCCCGTGAGCCATGGCCTCTGGGCCTGCGCGTCTGGAGCCTGTGCTCCACAATGGGAGAGGCCACAACAGTGAGAGGCCCGCGTACCGCAAAAAAAAAAAATTAAAAAAATAATGAAATGGACATGTTTGAGGCTTCCCTCCCTCTGCTAAACTGAGAACAATGGTTATATTCCAATTCAAAGCAGCAGGTGTGATGGGATATTCCTAGACTTGGAGTCTGACAACAGCATCCAAGCCCTGGCTCCTCCAGCTAGTAGCTGTGTTTGAACAAGCACCTTAGCTTTTCCGCACCTTTGTTTACTATAGTTCCATAAAATTATTATGGATATACATTTCCTACTTACAGCACAAGGTTATTTTAAAGGTCAAATGAGTAAAATCATAGAGAAAACTATCTCAAGCCTGTGAAATGACAAATAACATTGTCAATAAATGAAATATATCTGCCTGCATATTTTGATATGAAAGACTAGAAAGGAAAGTTTATCAGCTGCAGACACAATCAACGTGGTTGGAAGGATACAATATCACTGAATCCCCTCCAGCATCTGGATTGACTAAGCAAGTGCTTTTCACCGGGTGGTACCTGAGTGACAGGACATGAACGAAACCGGTATTTGTTCACCTTTTGATCCAGACTGTAGGCCAGCACCCAGTCCTCTTGCTTGGGGTGAAAGAGCAGACTCTGGATATAGAAGGTGAGCCGGTATTTCTGATAGGTGGCCCCTTCATCTGAGCTGATCAGTAGGCTGCTCTCCATCTCAGGATCACTAAGAAGCATGATCTAAAGAGAGGGGAGAGGAGAAAATATAGACAGAGTTAGCAGGAGAGAATAAACACAGGAAATTAAGGCATAAAGTCATCTGTATTTGTACAGCACAGCACAGAAAGGGGCATCTGGGCCTCTAGATGAAATATTGATATTTTTCTAACCCAATTTAGTCCCTCATTGCTGAATTGAGCTAAAATATTGTTCAAGATTAGGTCTGCATACAAATGAGGATTCATTTTTTTGAGGTCCTTCTTTTATTTTATTTTTATTTTTATTTATGTATGTTTTTTGCGGTACGCGGGCCTCTCACTGTTGTGGCCTCTCCCGTTGCGGGGCACAGGCTCCGGACGCGCAGGCTCAGCGGCCATGGCTCACGGGCCCAGCCACTCCGCGGCATGTGGGATCTTCCCGGGCCAGGGCAGGAACCTGTGTCCCCTGCATCGGCAGGCGGACTCTCAACCACTGCGCCACCAGGGAAGCCCGAGGTCCTTCTTTTAAATACCTTCATTTTTGATGTTTGTACTTGTACTTTTAAGTACTGGAAGTTTATTCCCGTGGTCCTCTGTCCCCTGACCTTAGGAGCATCACACCTCTGCTTCCTCATCTCCCCTCAGTCAATTCTCCATGTCACTCTTCATCACGCTACTGCTCTTACTACTCTTTAGTCATGAAAGAGATCCCACTGTTTCGTTCTTTCTAAACTGTTTTAGCGATGTAATTGATTTAAGTGGTTTCATGACCCTTTTGCTCTAGATGTTTTCCAAAGCACATATCCCCAAAGGCCTTTGGGACAAATATTGATGCTCAGGAAAGTTTGTCCTCCCCAAGCCAAATGGACAGAGTGGTGTAGTGAAAAGGCTTTGGCACCTGAAAGAGCACATTCAAGTATCAACACTTCTGTGTCATACTGTCACCTTGAAAAGCTACTTCACCTCTGGAGGCCTTGGTTTCCTCAACAAGAACTGGGTCTGACAATACAAGAACTGGCTTTCAATGCTTGGCATAGTGTATATTTTTGACAAGTGATAGCTATGGTTACTATCGACCTCTCAGGATTTAAAAGCCCCTCCAGTCAGTGCAATTTGACTTCTACTCACAGGACCTCAGTGGCATTGGTCTCACTAAAGGTGTGAGTGATTTTCTAGTATTTAAATCCAATAAACACTGAGATACTCAGACCTAGCTGTTCCTTAGTTAAACACTTAGCAGTCTTTGTTACCACTGACAATTCCATCCTTCTGGAAGCATTTTCTTCCAGGGGCTTCTGTAACACCACACTTCTCTGGTTCTCCTTTCTACCTCTTTTGAATACTCAACTTTCCCTGATTACCCTTATAATATGGCTATTCCTCAACCCTCAGTTTTGACTTTCTTCTCTTTTCGGTCGACACACTGTTCCTCGGTGACCACTTCCACCCTCACTTTTATTTATTTTTTTCGTTAACACCTTTCTGGAGACAACTCGTAAATTAAATGTCAATCTGAGGTCTCCTCTGAGTTTCAGACTTGAAAACTCAGCTGCCTGGTGCCTTCTTCTATTTGGATGTCTCACAACACCTCACACTCAGCATGCCCCAGGCTGTACCTCAGCCAAGCCCTCTTCCCCCCCAGGGCTTCCTGGTTCAGTGAGTGTTTCCACCAACCACCCATCCCATGAGAAGCCAAGCGCAACACCATCGCTAACTCTGTTTCTCTATTCACCTCCTATAATTAATTAGTCTCTAAGCTCTGCGTGTTCTACCTACTCACAACTCTAAAATCAGATCCGTTCTCTCCCTGCCCATCATGATTGCCTTAGTCCAAAATGTGACCATCTCTGTATTGGATTCCTGTAAGACACCCCTAGTCATTCTCACAGCTTCAACCAGTATCCCCCTCAATTCACTTTGCACACTGTGGCCAGAATAATCTAAAACCATTCAGTGGCTTATCTCTGATCTTCCTATATTCTAAAATTCCTAAAATAGCCTGGTATGATCTGCCCCTTGTGTATGTGTTTGGTTCCATCAGCAACAAAGCCCTTTTGACCTTTATCACCCAGCTCCACCCAACTTCTTTGAATTTCCAATCTTTGCCCAGTGACTGAATGAGTTTATTTCCTCTTATAATTTGTCCTGTCTTGGGCTGTACCGCCACCAGTTATTAGGGCTACTGCTACACACAGTCTGCACCATGGGGTCCAAAGTACCGAGTAAAGTAAAAAAAAATTTCCATACCTTATAAAACTATTGAATATTAGGATTTTAAAAATTTACCCATAGTATATATTAGTATTATGAGGTAAGCTTTAAACAAATTCAATGCCTTTAACTGCTAGGATTCATAGTGATTTTCTTCTTTTATTCCTTTATAGCTTCCAAGACAAGTCTACTTTCTTTTTCTCAAATACTTGCTTTGGCTTCATTGAAATAAGTTATTACTAGTTATCGGCAAATTTCTGAGAAATGGGTGCAGTATAGTTTTTTTCTTTTTTTCCATTCATGTGTGAATAACCTAGGGGAAAAGCTCTTAGATGGGTTATTCATAGACAATAACTTTCTCCTCCCTTGGCACTGCGAAGGGTAGGGACTACTGGTAAAAGCACCCCTGCTGCCCTTGAAAACATCTAAGAGGATGCACCCATGCTCCTCGCAGAGTCTGCAAGGACAAATATACAGGGAAAGAATGAAGCTGTCATAACCACCTTCTCTTGCTTCCTGGCACGTACCGATGAGCTACATAACAGGCAATGAAATCATTTCTCCCCTGGTGCAGAGAAATTAAACTGCTTATTTTATGCAGGTATAAAGAAGCTTCATGCCTATGATTTTAATTAGAAGGTAAGACCAACATCATAAATGAACTTTTATTTTATATACCATGAGTTACAATATACTGAATAAGGGTTACCATCAAATATCTAGTGCAATGTACTCTCTTCGTCCAGCCCTGTTTCTTCCTGCACACACGCTACACACTTGCATACACAAACACACTAAGCCGCACACAGATGAGGCACATGTGTGTGCACACGTACGCTTACACATATATCACTGTGGCACATATACACATGCACACGTACAGAAACACACTTATATTTAAGGTCTATTGAGATTGTGTGTTGGTTTTAGGGTGCTTTTGTTGGCAAGAGGACATTTTTATTGCAACCTTTCTCTGACATTCTCATCAGAAATCCTTTTTTTTGCATATACCCTGAGAAAACCATAATTCAAAAAGAGTCACGTACCACAATGTTCACTGCAGCACTATTTACAATAGCCAGGACGTGGAAGCAACCTGAGTGTCCATCCACAGATGAATGGATAAAGATGTGGCACATATATACAATGGAATATTAGCCATAAAAAGAAACAAAATTGAGTTATTTGTAGTGAGGTGGATGGACCTAGAGTCTGTCGTACAGAGTGAAGTAAGTCAGAAAGAGAAAAACAAATACCATATGCTAACACAGATATATGGAATCTAAAAAAAAAAAAATGATTCTGAAGAACCTAGGGGCAGGACAGGAATAAAGACGCAGACGTAAAAGACAAATACCGTATGCTAACACATGTATATGGAATTTAAGGAAAAAAAATGTCATGAGGAACCTAGGGGTAAGACAGGAATAAAGACACAGACCTACTACAGAATGGACTTGAGGATATGGGGAGGGGGAAGGGTAAGCTGTGACAAAGTGAGAGAGTGGCATGGACATATATACACTACCAAACGTAAGGTAGATAGCTAGTGGGAAGCAGCCGCATAGCACAGGGAGATCAGCTCGGTGCTTTGTGACCACCTAGAGGGGTGGGATAGGGAGGGTGGGAGGGAGACGCAAGAGGGAGGGGATATGGGGATATATGTATATGTATAGCTGACTCACTTTGTTATACAGCAGCAACTAACACAACAATGTAAAGCAATTATACCTCAATAAAGATGTTAAAAAATATCCTTTTATATACTTTGATATCACTGGCAGTGTCTGTATTCAATCCTAGTGTCTGAGAAGAATGGAAGGAGGGACATAGAAACCTACATGTTTTGGATCCTAACCTGTGCTGGGCACTTAACAGGGTATTTTATCGAAACCTGAAACAAATTATGTGACATATCATTACTTGCATTTTACAGGTAAAGAAACTGAGGCTCAGAGGAGGAAAGCAACTTGCCTATTACCTCCTCTGATGGACTCCAATGCCACCACCTCCTGCCACACACAAACTAACACTAATGCTTTTCTGGACTTTGAAATCTTAGCACTTTGTGCTTTACCAAGGGACAAGGGAATGTCAGAGAAGCAGCTCTTTATTCTTTTTTAAGCAACGCTAAGAAATCCACACACCAAAAGCAGTTTTAAGAAAGCCCCTTTCCTCCTCTAACTCATATCCACCTTTGGCCAAGAGGACATGAAGAATTAATGAATAGGAAACCAAAGGAGAAATAGAATGGTAGCGCTAAAAAAAAAAAAAAGAAAAAAAAAGAAAAAGAGGGAACCATAATATTAACATAAATAGAATCAGAAAGCAAAGCCTCAGCAGAAGTTAAGCCTCAGGGTAAAATATGTATATTGTGTATGAATCTACGTAACTACTTCTATAACTACATATACAAAGAAAATCATCCCATGTCCACCAAGATTGTTACTGGGAAGAAGAGATTTCAAAGGTAAATGCCTAAGAGGGCAAGGCAGGTAAACTAAGTGAGCAAAGCAGATAAAGCAAAACAAGGAGTGGTAAGAACTATGCCGAGGGGCTTCCCTGGTGGCACAGTGGTTGAGAGTCCGCCTGCCCATGCAGGGGACACGGGTTCGAGCCCTGATCCGAGAGGATCTCGCATGCCGCAGAGCAGCTGGGCCCGTGAGCCATGGCTGCTGAGCCTGCGCATCTGGAGCCTGTGCTCCGCAACAGGAGAGGCCACAACAGTGAGAGGCCTGCGTACCACCAAAAAA